ATTGGAAACTAAGGGATATTAAGGCCTCCTTTTAATAGAGTACCGGACCAAAACATTAACACTTAGTGAATACATGAACTCCTCAAACTATGGTCATCACCGGTAAGTATCCCGATTATTGTCACTTGGGGGTTAATGGATCATAATACATAATAGGTGACTATAGACTTGCAAGATAGGATCAAGAACTCACATATATTCATGGAAACATAATAGGTTCAGATATGAAATCATGGCAATCGGGCCCTAGTGACAAGCATTAAGCATATCAAAGTCATAGCAACATCAATCTCAGAACATAATGGATACTAGGGATCAAACCCTAACAAAACTAACTCGATTACATGATAAATCTCATCCAACCCATCACCATCCAGCAAGCCTACGATGAAATTAGTCATGCACGGCGGTGAGCATCATGAAATTGGTGATGGAGGAAGGTTGATGATGACGATGGCAACGGATTCCCCTCTCCGAAACCCCGAATAGACTCCAGATCATCCCTCTCGAGAGAGATTAGGGCTTGGTGGCGGCTCTGTATCGTAAAACGCGATGAATCCTTCTCTCTGATTTTTTCTCCCCGAAAGTGGATATATAGAGTTGGAGTTGAGGTCAGTGGAGCACCAGGGGGCCCACGAGGCAGGGGGCGCGCCCCCACCCTCGTGGACAGGGTGTGGGCCCCCTGGCCTTGATTCTTTCACCAGTATATTTTATATATTTCAAAAATATTCTCTGTTGATTTTCAGGTCATTCCGAGAACTTTTATTTCTGCACAAAAATAACACCATGGCAATTCTGCTGAAAACAGCGTCAGTCCGAATTAGTTCCATTCAAATCATGCAAGTTAGAGTCGAAAACAAGGGCAAAAGTGTTTGGAAAAGTAGATACGACGGAGACGTATCACTCCACCCCCGGCGACACCTCGCTCGTCGGCGTCCGAACCGCCCCCGCCGGCGCCGTCCGCGCCGCCTCCCCCAAGACGGCGTCACCGCCGCCTCCGTCGGCCCCCGCCCGCTAGACCATGTCGGTCTGCAGCGGGGTGTCGTCCTCAACGACACAGAACTAGCTCCAATTCATCAATGTAATGTAGGCATGTATTCCGAATATAGTCATACATGCTTATGGAAAAGAACTTGCATGACATCTTTTGTCCTGCCCTCCCGTGGCAGCGAGGTCCTAATGGAAACTAAGGGATATTAAGGCCTCCTTTTAATAGAGTACTGGACCAAAGCATTAACACATAGTGAATACATGAACTCCTCAAACTACGGTCATCACCGGGAGTGGTCCCGATTATTGTCACTTCGGGGTTGCCGGATCATAACACATAGTAGGTGACTATAGACTTGCAAGATAGGATCAAGAACACTCATATATTGATGAAAACATAATAGGTTCAGATCTAAAATCATGGCACTCGGGCCCTAGTGACAAGCATTAAGCATAGCAAAGTCATAGCAACATCAATCTGAGAACATAGTGGATACTAGGGATCAAACCCTAACAAAACTAACTCGATTACATGATAGATCTCATCCAACCCATCACCGTCCAGCAAGCCTACGATGGAATTACTCACGCACGGCGGTGAGCATCATGAAATCGGTGATGGAGGATGGTTGATGATGACGATGGCGACAGATTCCCCTCTCCGGAGCCCCGAACGGACTCCAGATTAGCCCCCAAGAGGTTTTAGCGCTTGACAGCGGCTCCATATCATAAAACGCGATGAATCCTTCTCCTTAATTTTTTTCTCCCCGAAAGCAAATATATAGAGTTGGAGTTGAGGTCGGAGGAGCTCCAGGGGGCCCACGAGGTAGGGGCACACCCAGGGCGGCAGGCGCACCCCCACCCTCGTGGCTAGGGTGTGGGGCCCCTGGCCTTGATCTTCTGCCAGTATTTTTCATTATTTCCAAAAAGACGCTCCATGGAGTTTCAGGTCATTCCGAGAACTTTTGTTTTTGCACATAAATAACACCATGGCAATTCTGCTGAAAACAGCGTCAGTCCGGGTTAGTTTCATTCAAATCATGCAAGTTAGAGTCCAAAACAAGGCCAAAATTGTTTGGAAAAGTAGATACGACGGAGACGTATCAGCGGCGGTCGCAAGAAGCAGAGGAAGCAAGACGAAGGCAGGGGCACGAGTGAGAATGATTTCCGCCGCCCCCTCCTCGCCCCAATTTATAGGCCACAATTTAAAACGCGGGGGAGTGGGATCGTTTGCGCTCGCCTTTCCCACTTCCCTGCAATAACTGCGCACGTATGTGCGTAATAACTGCCTCAAGAATGGCAACCGACTTGCGGACGCCACAATAAGTCCGCGCGCGTGGGCCGAGGGCGCGCGGCCGCGGGCCCCCTGCGCGTCACACCGTCCCGTCACGCGAGTGGCCTGTCAGGTCCCTCCGGCTCCCGGACGCCATGTGGAGCCCGCGCAAAGCCCAAAAGATTGCCTCAAAGATTCCGTGGACTCCTCGATTTCCCGCCGCTATCGGGATGCATCGATCCGGCTTCCGGAAGCCAGCACATAGTGGGTGTTGCCGGACCCGGCGGCCTCAAAATTTGCCTCCTTCAAAGAGGGAAACTGCAAAGGCCCTCCCATCTGAAGACGGCGGACCTTCACATCTTCGGGGAATACTGTCGGGGGGATGAACCTCGGGCAGGCAACGGAACCCGGATCCTTTTCAAAAACAACGGGGCCAACATCGCCCCTCAAGACGGCTCGCGCTTGGCTGGGTCGCTCGACCCGGCCTAATCCTCAAGACTTCTCCAACAAGCCTGCTCCCCCCATGGCGTGTTCTCCAACCCAGACAAGGGTCAGCGGCCGTCCCATCCCAGTCATACGATGGGACAAGTCCCCACCAACTAATGACCGAAGCCACAGTACCCCGCCCATGCCTCTGGTCAGCCGGACGAGGCAACAGTGGCCCCCACCTACCCGCTGACCAGGGTCGGCGTGGCAACAGTGCACCCATCGTCATCCATGACGCGAACAAGCGGCGACCTGACGGAGCGCCACTATAGCCGACTCAACACGGCCACTCCCTGACGATCGACAAGACGACCAACAGCGCCCCTGTACCCGGCGGGTCCCATGCCCGGGGAACCCGACGATGCCCGGTACCCGGCGGGTCCCAGCACCGGGTTCCTGGATACTGACGACCCGACCCTACCACCTTGTAACATTACCATTGTACCCCTGGGGGTTGACCTATAAAACCCCCCAGGAGCCCTCATGCATACGGGCGGATCATCTCCTTTCACTTGCACACACACCTAGCTAGCAATACCCGAGGAGAGGGAGCTGCCTAAGCCTTGGCCAGCATTCCTCCTTCCTCCATACAGCTCCAGGAGTGACCCTGTACTGTTACATATTAACCACACTCGGCAGGACTAGGGGTGTTATCTCTCTGGAGAGCCCCGAACCTGCGTATGTCTTGCGTCCCACGCTTGCTCATGCCGACCTCGCCTCTAGAGCCCACCAGTGCCCTCAAGCCTCCTTCTCTCTTTAGCCATCCCTTGGCATCTGCCATGCGTCCACCACGACAGTACTTTTGTTGTTTTGTTGAAGAAAACAATTATGCACGATTTTTTTTGACAAAGAAGCAAGAACGGAGAGAAGAGAAAAAAGAAAGAAAAAACCTTCACTTTTCATCATTGCTACAAAAGAGCTCAAGAATGAGGAGAAGTGGAAGAATCGACAAGTTTTTTATGCTACGAAGAAGAAAAGTTTGGTTGTCGATCATAAGGTGGTGGTGGCGAGGAGAGAAGGCGCCCCACTCCTCACTAGGCGACCAAATAATATCGGCCGGATGGAACTACAAAAGTAAATGATATGAAGGCCGAAGACAATGATCTTAAAGAAGGATTTGACGTCATTGTCATTGTGAGGAAAGAGTATGCCGAAAAAAATGTTGAAGTTAAAAGAAATGGAGGAGAGGGGGAAGCCGAGCGGCTGAGGGCAGCGACCAACGAGAGAAAGATTGAACTAGAGGAGAGAAAGGTGGCGGCCGAAGAGCTCAAGATGATGGAGGAGAAGGCACTCAAGTTTATGTTCACTAGTAAATGCGCACGTGCAACGCACGTTAATATTTAGGCAATATATTAATTGCACACGGTTATTATGTATGCTATTATTTGTGTTAATTCTGTGATTAGTGCAATATTTGGTATGATATTTTTTGCGGGGGATTATTTGGTATGATATTAATTACACGTTAAACACATTTAGCACTCGCCATTGGAACAATCTAGGTCGTTGGATTGACTTAGTTCGATGGCCGAGATCAATTGGATCTGCCCCTTTAAGTCTTTTTATATTGGTATAGACATAGATGGACACAAATGACCTCTTCGACCCCAAAGCAAAGGCGTATGTCGAGTTTTGTCATGATGAAACGATCATGAAGAAGCAAATGCATGAAAAACATGATGAGAGAAGGAATAAGAGGTGCCATGGATGAAATGGAAGGAGTAACGAAAGGTGCCAATGGGCGGTGAAATGAGAGGAGGAATGGAAGGTGCCATGAGCGGTGGAATGGGCGGCTACATAAACATGATGGGAGATGCCATCAATGGTGTCTTCGATGACAACATGAGAGATGGCTTTGATGGCAACATTCGCAATGGGATGGCTTCGGTTGTACGAGAGATGGGTTCGGTGACAACACAGCGGGGGTGGCTTCCGTGCCAACACGAGTGTTATCGGAGGGCCAACACGAGTGTTATCGGAGGTGCTTCCATTCTTCGGGGGCAGCACAGCCATGTTCGAATTGAGAAGCACGCGCGTGGCTACCACTACCAGGTAGGCCCTGCCTGCCCCGGCTCATCTAGTCGTTCGTGGTCCGGACGATCCCTTCGCACCGCGATCTGAAGCGAACATCTCCTCTTCGGGTCAACTTCGACTCTGACCTTCCCAGGCTCCAGTCCAACCCAGCCAGCCAGGCTCGTTCCCCCCATCGCGCCCCTGCTTCCCACCGCCGTCCAGATCCGCCCCTGCCGCCATGGCCGACCCAGGAGGCTCGCAGCGCGCGGCGCTGCTCGCCGTGGCGTCCCTCTTCCCCGTGCCCGCCGGCGCGACCTTCTCCTACGGGACGGCGGGGTTCCGCGCCGACGGGAGCACCATGGCCCCCGCGGTGTGCCGCGCCGGGATCGTCGCGGCGCTGCGCTCGCTGAAGCTGGGCGGCGCCGCCGTTGGGCTGGTCATCACGGCCTCGCACAACCCCGTCGCCGACAACGGCGTCAAGATCGTGGACGCCGACGGCGGCATGATGTCGCAGGCCTGGGAGCCCTTCTCCGACGCCCTCGCCAATGCCCCCACCCCCGACGCGCTCCTGCAGGTAGGCGAAAAGATCAATTCAGCTAAATTGTTTCTCTTGGGTTGGTTTGGTAATGCCTCAGTTAGTTGGATGCAAAAATTGTCTAGTGATGCTAATTGTTGTACTCTACGTATGATGCTCGAAAGCCATACCCGGATAGGATGCCTCGGTTTTATCGTTGAATTGATAGTGTTAGTTCCTACCAACCTTCTATTCTCAGTTTGTCTTGGTCTTTGTTCATATGCAGCTGGTGCTTCAGTTTGCGAAGGATGAAGGGATTACACTTGGTGGAGGTCACTCGGCGCAAGTGCTGTTGGCAAGAGACACGAGGCCTACTGGAGAGTACCTCCTCCACGTTGCAGTCAAAGTATATCATTAACACCCTCTGTTTTAGTACTGTTGGCTGAGTCGATCTGATTACTTATCTGAAACACTTTTGTGAATGAAGGGTATAAGCACAATAGTAGGCTCAGTTGCACTTGACATGGGGATCCTGACAACTCCGCAGCTACACTGGATGGTTCGGAACAAAAACAGAGGCTTGAAAGCCTCTGAAGCGGATTATTTTACACAAATCGCCGAGTCATTCAGGTCGTTTGTCATTCCTGCACGTGTAATCAGTCCCGGAGAACACTGCATTATTTGCTGAACAATTGCATTGATTGGCACAACAGGCATTTATTGGAATTAACCCCTGATGATAAAGGCATCGATGACCTAAATGAGAAACTAATTGTGGATGGCGCAAACGGTATTGGTGGGTTGAAGTTGGAACAAATAAAGTCAAATCTGGCCAGATTAGACATTCTTGTGAGAAATTCAGGAAAAGAAGGAGAAGGAATACTTAATGAGAGGTGTGGTGCTGACTTTGTTCAAAAGGAGAAGGTTCTTCCTCTTGGTTTTGGCCCTAATGATGTTGGTGTCAGGTGAGTATTGGTTATACTGCTTAAATTTGCTGTTATATGTTCACATTTGATGGATACTTATGTGAACATTCTAATATAACATTCAGGTGTGCAAGTTTCGATGGTGATGCAGATAGACTTGTGTATTTTCATGTTACATCGCCTAGCAAGACTAGTGTTGATCTTGTCGATGGCGATAAGATATTATCACTATTTGTCCTCTTTATTAGAGAACAGTTGGATATTATCAATGGAGAAGACAATAAAGGATTATTGCCTACAAGGTTTGGTGTAGTTCAAACTGCTTATGCCAATGGAGCATCAACAGAATTTCTTAAAAATCTTGGTCTTGAAGTTGTCTTCACTTCAACAGGAGTGAAATATCTCCACAAGAAAGCTCTAGAATATGATATTGGTGTCTACTTTGAGGCCAATGGACACGGGACAGTGCTATTCAATGATGAGTTTGTCTCACGGCTTGAGTCTTTGACTGCTAGGCTTTCTGAAGCTGCAGGTGAGCTATTCATGGCTTGTGCAAAAGCTTATTGTTTCTTTTCTTTTTAGCTCTTGTGCTGTTTTTCCTTTATTGATCTAAATGTCCTTCCCCACAACTCTTTCCTCAGGTTCTCCACAGCACCAAGCTGCCTCGAGATTGGTAGCAGCAAGTCAATTAATTAATCAAGCAGTGGGTGATGCTATAAGTGGAATGCTTTTGGTGGAGGCTGTTTTACAGCATAAGAGATGGTCATTCCAGAATTGGTGTGACCTATACACTGATCTACCAAGTAAACAACTTAAGGCAAGCTGTTACTTCTATAATTATATAATGCACTATTCCTCTTAACTTATTGGTCAAGCTTCTTACTACTATTTTGTTTCCATAATGTGACAATTGTTCAGGTTAAAGTGAAAGATCGAACTTCTATTGTTACAACCGATGCAGAACGAAAAGTTTGCCAACCATCTGGCTTGCAAGAATTGATAGATAAGGAAGTCGGTGAGTAATATCTTAATTGTGTGATATTGTTGTTACATCTAAAATCTGAACATTGATGAATGAAAATGTACTAAAAACTTATGTATTTTATTGCAGTTAATTACTCTCATGGGCGATGCTTTGTGCGGCCATCTGGAACTGAGGATGTGGTAAGAGTATACGCAGAGGCATCTACCATGGAAGCAGCGGAAAGCCTTGCAAAATCTGTAGCACAGCATGTTGAGCGCATTCTCGGGTTTTGCTAGTTGGGTTCTTTTATCTTTCATCTTTTCTGAAACGTGTAATTTTCAACTTTAGCTGATTCCCCTACGTTTTGAAGAATGTAGACATATATTTTGTTTCTGTGCAAAATTGCTGATTTTTTTTTTGTACAAGTGTATGTAGAGGCATTCCTTCAAGGTCGATGGTTTGTTGCCCGCTGAAACTCGCGTCCCCATTTCTAAAACACATGGATCATGGAATTGAAGATTCTTAAGCAAGTGGACTGAACTGATTCTTGTTATCTTGTGATTGATGTGTTTCAGAAAGTTTGAAATGAATGTATTGGAGAAAATTCAACTGAAAGGTACTCTCTCTGTATTGGAGAGTACTCAAGTAGGGGAAAAGGCAGTTTATAGAGTAGGGCGTTTTGGTGACCGAGCTCCATGGAGCCCTTTATTTTTGAAAAATTCAAAATCCAAACTTTTTGACTTTAAAAAATTCTGAAAATAAATATGCAACTATACATGGATGAAATGTATGTGTGTGTAAAAATTCAAGATGAAATACTTCGAAATGCGACCTATAGAAAAAAGACAAATTTCTGGACTTTGAGGATGAATAGTAACATGTGTTAAAAAGCCTCAGATTTGTCTTTTTTGCATAGCCTTCATTTCAACGTATTTCGTCCTAAAATTTTACACACATGTGTGTTATGCCTCCATGTATGTCTGTAATTTTTTTCAGATTTTTTTGAATTGTAGAAATATGAATTTTCATGAATTTTGTGTTTTTCAAAAACCGGCCTCCATGGAGGCCGAGCTCCAAAAGGCATTTTCGCAGTTTATAATGCTTTAAAAAATCCCTTCCTTGGCTGAAAAAATGCTTTTGGGCATATCCAACGCAGGTCTTCAGAAACTCCAGTGCATAGTGAACGGCTAAAGCGTGCGAAGCATGTCAAGAGCGGTCGGAGTAGATCGAATTTGACATGGGAGGAGTCTGTTTAGAGAGGGAGGGGGGGGGGGGTGGAGTATCACCACCAAAGAACTATGAACAGGAGGGCGTGAAAGCTTGCTATCCATGTGCCAGAGTCATGAGTTGGTCGCGAGATTTTATGGGTTTCATCTCTAGCCTATCCCAACTTGTTTTGAACTAAAGGCTTTGTTGTTGTTGGCTGAAAAAATGCGTTAGATTATCAGGACATGATTCTTGGTAATACGTAAAAACGGACAGCTATGTAACACACCAAGCAAGAACAGTAACTTCACGAGCCTCGTCAGTGTATCTCACACTGACACAAAATTTGGAGTACCGAATGCAAAGATGTAGATATCCTTTCTCGATGCATACTGAGGCATGATTCAACTGAAAGTAAGATTAATGACTTAGAAAGAAACCTGTTGTTGATTTTTGGGAAATTATTGAATCAAACGCGTTGCTTTAGCTGACAGTCTCACTCGGCATCAGCAACAATGGCCTGAAGCACACAGCCTCTAACTGAAAGGATTCCAAAATATAAAGTGATACTCTGAAGAGAGGATTAGCAAATTTGTCCATTCATAGCGATGTGTGTTTCCCAACAACTGACCAAAGCATGATTAGAGGTGATGCGAAGGAGAAGTCAGAAACTTGGCGACTACTTCGCATTCTTCACAATCAGGAGAAACTTCCATGGATGTGCATCGGGGGCTTCAAAGAGATCATGATTATTATGAGTTAGGGTTCTGCCGGTTCTAAGACGGAGACTGTAGGGGAAAGATGGAGGAAGACGAGACCGAGGGCGCGGCGGGCGGCAGCTGGGCGCCGTCCTTGCGTGGTGGAGAAGAGGCGGCGGCGGCGCAAGAGGCGGCTAGGGTTAGGTCTCCCGACTCCCTAAGGGAAGCCGAACAAATACTGATTGCTTCTTGCTTGATTAAATTGATACATCTTCTCTCCTTATATAGAGAGGTTTACTTGACTCCTAAGCAAACGACCCTAATAACGATAAGATAATTGGGCTAAGCCCCTAATAACGATAAGATAACTTGGGCCATAGCCTACTAGGCTAAGCCCCTAATATGCCGGTCATAACACTTCTCCCCGCCTGCACAAACAGCTCGTCCTCGAGCTGTAAGACGGGGAAGCGCTTGCTGAACTCCTCGAGGTGATCAACCAGCATCAAACACCTCCGCGACATCTGAGGCGGCCAGGTCGCCGAGCCCGGCGGCGACGACGTCCTCCTCAGTGTAGTCTGTAGCCTCCAGGTAGAAGAGTCGGGGGTAGACGTGGCCGGGCATGTAGGTCTCGTCGCAGTTGAAGCACAACCCTTGGCGGCGACGCTCGAGTAGCTCGGCCGAGGTGAGCCGACGGAACGCGCGCGTCACGGTCACGACAAGGGGTGCCGCGGAAGCCTAAGCAGGCTGACCCTGCACGGGAACATCCGGCCAGGGTGGCGGCCCAGCGGCCCGGGACGGTGATGCCTGCGGGATGGCCACTGCGCGGCGCTCGAACGTGCGGGCGTAGTACATGGCCGTCTGGAGGTCCCGGGGTCCCTGCAGCTCGACGTCCACGCGGATATGATCTGGCAGACCGCCGACGAAGAGTTCGGCCCGCTGGTGAGCCGTCATGCCGGACGCGTGGCACGCCAGGGCCTGAAAGCGGTTGGTGTAGTCCTGCACCGTAGAGGTGAAGGGAAGGCGGCCCAACTCCGCCAGCCGGCTCCCACGTATTGGTAGTCCGAATCGAAGGAGGCAGAACTCGCGAAAACGCTCCCATGGGGGCATGCCGCCCTCGTCCCGCTCGAGGGCGTAGAACCACGTCTGTGCGGCGCCGCGGAGGTGATAAGAGGCGAGCCAGGTGCGGTCTGACGCGAGCATCCATTGCCCCTGGAAGAACTGCTCGCACTGGTTGAGCCAGTTGAGGGGGTCCTCGTTGCCGTCGTAGGTGGCGAAGGCGAGCTTGGCAAAGCGCGAGGGTGACTGAGCATGACCGTCGTGAGTGTACGGCTCGGCGGTACGGAGCAACAAAGAGGATGGCGTTGGTCCGGTGTGGACAGGTGGTCCGCAGGAATGCGGCGGCCCGTCGAAGCCAGCGTGGAAACCCCGCGGAGCCGGAGGGCCCGTCGTACGGCAGAGAGGGTGCCGGCTGGTCCGCGACCATGGTGTAGACTGGCGGCGGTGACGTCCCGGTCAACCAGGCCGGAAGCTGGGACGGCGAGGGCAGGAATCGCACTTGCTGAATCAGCACGCCCGCCGGCGCAGTTGTAGTCAGCCCGGTGCTGGGCGGCGGAGGCACCGGCAGCGGCAGCAGCTGCTGCCTGGAAACGACGGAGGCGGCGGGCGCGGTGATGGAGGGGGCTGGCTGTAGCTGTAGCGAGGGCTGTAGCGGCCCAACCAGCGTCGCGGTGGCCCCGGGGTTCGGCGGCTGCCAGGGCGGTGGTGGCGAGGACCCGTGTGACATGGGTGACGCGACGAGGGTCAGCGCCGGCCACTGCGGCCATTGGGGCGCGGCGGCGGGCAGCGGCTGAAGCAGCCAGTGGTGGTGTAGAGGCCCGGCCAGCGCCGCGGGTGTAGAATACCACGGCAGGGCGGCTGGCTGATGTCTACTACTCAACCTTCTTCTTGTAGACGTTGTTGGGCCTTCAAGTACAAAGATTTGTTGGACAGTAGCAAATTTTTCTCAAGTGGATGACCTAAGGTTTATCAATCCATGGGAGGCGTAGGATGAAGATGGTCTCTCTCAAACAACCCTGCAACCAAATAACAAAGAGTCTTTTGTATCCCCAACACACCCAATACAATGGTAAATTATATATGTGCACTAGTTTGGCGAAGAGATGGTGATACAAGTGCAATAAGGATGGTAGATATAGGTTTTTGTAATCTAAAAATATAAAAACAGCAAGGTAACTAATGATAAAAGTGAGCGTAAACGGTATTGCAATGCTAGGAAACAAGGCCTAGGATTCATACTTTCACTAGTGCAAGTTCTCTCAACAATAATAACATAATTGGATCATATAACTATCCCTCAACATGCAACAAAGAGTCACTTCAAAGTCACTAATAGCGGAGAACAAACGAAGAGATTATTGTAGGGTACGAAACCACCTCAAAGTTATTCTTTCTAATCGATCTATTCAAGAGTTCGTACTAGAATAACACCTTAAGAGACAAATAAACCAAAACCCTAATGTCACCTAGATACTCCAATGTCACCTCAATTATCCGTGGGTATGATTATACGATAAGCATGACACAATTTCAGATTCATCTATTCAACCAACACAAAGAACTTCAAAGAGTGCCTCAAAGTTTCTACCGAAGAGTCAAGACGAAAACATTTGCCAACCCCTATGCATAAGTTCGTGAGGTCACGGAACTCGCAAGTTGATCACCAAAATATACATCAAGTGGATCAAGTGATATCCCATTGTCACCATAGATAAGCACATGCAAGACATACATCAAGTGTTCTCAAATCCTTAAAGACTCAATCCGATAAGATAACTTCAAAGGAAAAACTCAATCCATTACAAGAGAGTAGAGGGGGAGAAACATCATAAGATACAACTATAGTAGCAAAGCTCGCGATACATCAAGATCATGCCAAATCAAGAACACGAGAGAGAGAGAGAGATCAAATACATAGCTACTGGTACATACCCTCAGCCCCGAGGGTGAACTACTCCCTCCTCGTCATGGTGAGCGCCGGGATGATGAAGATGGCCACTGGAGAGGGATCCCCCCTCCGGCAGGGTGCCGAAAAGGGTCTAGATTTGTTTTTGGTGGCTACGGTGGCTTCTAGCGGCGGAACTCCTGATCTATTATGCTCTCTGATGTTTTTAGGGTATATGGACATATATAGGCAAAAGAAGTCGGCCAGGGGAGCCACGAGGGGCCCACGAGGGTGGGAGGCGCGCCTCCCTGCCTCGTGGCTTCCTCGAAGCTTCCCTGACGTCTACTCCAAGTCTCCTGGATTGCTTCCGTTCCAAAAATAACTCTCCCGAAGGTTTCATTCCGTTTGGACTCCGTTTGATATTCCTTTTCTTCGAAACACTGAAATAGGC